CACCGGAATTGTTTCAAATTTAGTATTTGAAGTTCGTAATGAATACTACAGCCTAAGACAGAAAATTGTCCGTGCAGGTCCACGCCTTCGTATAGCCCCCATACAACGGTACCTCCCTATATTCGGTATTTTGATGATTTTAGTGACTTGATTCACCGGAATTGTTTCAAATTTGGTATTTGAAGTTCGTAATGGATACTACAGCCTATGACAGAAAATTGTCCATGCAGGTCCACGCCTTAGTATATCCCCCATACAACAGTGCTCCCGATATTCGGTATTTTGATGATTTTAGCGACATTATTCACTGGCAATATTTCAATTTTGGTATTTGAAGTTCGTAATAAATACTGCAGCCTATGGCAGAAATTTGTCTATGGAGGTTCACGCTTTTGTATAGCCCCCATATAACGGCACCTCCCGATATTCGGTATTTTGATGATATTATCGAAATTATTCACCGATTTTTTTTTTATAAATTTCGCATTTGAATATTGTAATGGCTATAAATTGTCTATGCAGGTCCAGGTCTTCGTATAGACCCCAATAAAACGGCAATATTCGGTATTTTTAGGATTTTAAAAGAATATTTAATGGATTTTATTTTTTTGAAAAATTTACCAATTCGTTCCAAATGGTGGAGGGTATAAAACGTTCAGCCGGGCCGAATATACAGCTTGTTGACTTGTTTTATTAATTTTTAATTAAGACTTCCATACTTGACTGCGCTATGGGATTACAAGTGGGACATATCTGTCCATGTTTTGTTCTTTGGTACCATCCAATTCATGAAGCTTTAAAGGATTTGACCGCATTTTCCAACGGAAATACCAATAATTTGGGGATTTCATTTGAACATATTTCGGAATCAGATCACGTTTTTGTATGGCCCACAAGGGATGTTTCCTCTCTATTTTGGATTTTTCACCAAAGAAGAAACAGTAGTTCTCACAGAGACAAATCCTCTGTAGGAAAAAAAAACGAGATCAATACGCATTTTGTCAAAAAATTTTGAAATTTATCTATTTGGATATATTTTCCAATGAATTTCATGACTTCATTGGTGAAGGGTATCAAAAGTTGTCTCCAAACCTTACCTTTTTTCTTCTTCGAAATTACATTTAAAATGAAACACAACTAACTATTTTTATTACAAATTAAAGTTTTATTTAAAATTGTATATTGTAAATATGTATAGACTACAACTAAATTAAATATTATTTTAAAAAATAGCTTAGCTTTTCATTCATCCGTTCATTTCATTTTGGCTGAACAGAAGAATACAGAAAAAAGTTTAGAACTTTTTCCTTTTGTTTAATTGCACACATGATAGCAACGCGACAGTGGATAAATAAAACTCACACACACATACACAGCCTTATAGTTATATGGAATAAAGACTAATAATCGTAATAAAAATAATAATAATAATAACTCGTAACAATAGTTTCGTTTGAAAATAATTACTAGCAATAAATAATAAATTTAATTATTTCATGACTATTTCAAATCTATGAATGAATTGCAATAATGATGAGATTTTCGGGGGGAAAGATAGGAGAATAGATAGAATTAAAATATAATTATTAAATGGAATTTTGTTACTTTTTTAGCGCATAATAAATTCAAAGTAGGGGTTTTAAGGAAATTGATGATATTTTTGCTGTTATGTAATAATTTTTGTTTTTAAACATTTTTATGACTTAATATAAGATGTTTGTATAGTCAACAAATTTTATAGTAATTTTGAAAATTGTCTTGTTGTTTTTAAGCGAATTTTTTAAAAAAAATGTCTTGAAGTTTTGAATTTCCTCCTAGCGAAGTTGAAGGCTTCAAAATCGCTCAGTTATTAACTTGAACTTGTATTTGAATTTTGAATATTTTTTATAAATATTACCTTTTCAAGTCACCTTTCGAATACCATGGAATAGGAAAATATGTTCGAATGTTTTTTTTTTTCTCCTAAAAAGTTAACGATGCAGTTCGCCCTTTAAACGGAAACAAATATTCGAAGTCTTCCAACTAACCATCTTCTAGAATAGAAAAAATTCTAAAGTTCATCTATAGATCTTCAAATCTGTAGTAGGTCGGAATTCTGTTAACTTTCAAAATTTCTACATTCCTTCAAAAGGAGGGTATGAACTGTTTGTTCCGTCAGCAAACATATTGGAGGTCTTCCGTAAACAAACGACCTTAAAATGTTTTTTTTGTGAAAATGTCAAAAAAAACTTTTCTATAGACATGTCCTTGAGTGGGTCTTCCATGTTTATAGATTCGTTTTTAGCTCTTCTTCAGATAGAAGACTCTCACAAGGGTTTTTGTAGATTACAAATGGGGTAAATTTGGACAAGGGGGTTACATTGGTCACCAAACGATTACTAGAGACGTTGGTAATTATTCATTTAAATTAGGGCCTTCAGGAAACTTTTTAAGTTTCAGTGATTTTTTAAATATCTTATTTTCATTTTTTTTTTAATAATTTATTGATATTTTATTCTCAAAATTATTTGTTTTTTCTTTAATTTTTCATTTAATTTCTTTTTGTGGAAAGTATTTTATTTTTGTTTATTAAAATCACAACTTAGCTATCATCGATAATATTTCACTAACAAAATAAAATTAAAATATTTACATTAAATTATAACTTTTAACATAATATTGGGTTTTCTAGTTTCTATTTACTTCTATTGTATGAATAATATTTGTTTCTATTTGTTAGAAATAATTTCATAATTTGTTCTTTTTGTTCGAGTTATCGATAAAACTTTGGTTCTTTATAAATTAAAAAGCAAATATTTACAAAATAGTATAATATAATGAAATTAATTGTGTTGTATGGGAGGGGAAAGGGGAAAATGTATAATAAATTTCGATTACAATTTTTAAAAATTTAAAAAAATATATATTTATCGGAATTTATCGATATATATTATTCTATTTCTATAACTTTTCATTGCTTATTTTTTTCAATTTAATTAACATTTCTAAGGAATTTGAAAGCCAATTGTCTTTAAAAGATTGGGAAATTATTACATTTATCGGTAATTATCGAAATTGATTTTTTTTTCATTTCCACATCTTTTCATTGTTTAACTTGCCTTTTTTTCAATAACAACTGTTATAATATATTGAAAAGTCAAATATTCTCAAAAATTTGGAAAAATATTAAATTTATCGGTATTTATCGAAATTTAATTTGTTAATATTTACATCTTTTCATTGCCCAACTTGTCTTTTTGAATTAAGAATATGTTGAAAATGGATTTGAAAGTCACATGGATTTGAAAGCCAAATTTGGAAAATTATTAAATTTATCGATATTTATCGAAATTTGATTTTTTAATATCTGCACATTTTCATTGTTCAATTTGTCTTTTTGCATTAATACTATATTTAAAATTGGATTTGAAAGTCAATATTCTGAAAAATTTGGAAAATTATGAAATTTATCGATATTTATCGAAATTTGATTTTCTAACATTTACTTCTTTTCATTGCTCAATTTGTCTTTTTGCATTAAAATTATATCAAAAATTAATTTGAAATCCAAATATCCTCAATATTATTTATTTTTTTTTATTTATCGGTAACTATCGATACTTAATTTTTCAATTTCTACATCTTGTCATTGTTTAATTTGGCTTACTTCAATAAGATTATCATTCATAACGCATTTGAAAGTAAAATATTCTAAAAAAATTGGAAAATTATTAAATTTATCGGTATTTATCGAAATTTTAGTTTTCCATTTCTACATTATTTTATTATTTAATTTGCCTTTTTTCAATGCAAATGTCATTTATAATGTATGTGAATGTCAAATATCCTCAAAAAATTGGAAAATTATTGCATTTATCAATAATTATCGAAATTGATTTTTTTTTAATTTCCACATCTTTTCATTGTTTAACTTGTTTATTTTTCAATAAGAACTGTTGTAATGTATTTGAAAGTCAAATATCTTCAGAAAATTTTAAAATTATCCAATTTATCGGTAATTATCGAAATTTGTTTTTTTTTTATTTTCTACTATTTTCGTTGCTTATTTTGTCTTTTTTCAATGCGATAATCGTTTTTAATATATTTGCACGTCAAATGCAAATCTATAAATTTGGAAGATTTTAAAATTATTAAATTTATCGGATTTTATCGAAATTATAATCTTCCATTTCTACATCATTTCGTTGTTTAGTTTAGCTTTTTCAATATGATTATCATTCATAATGCATTTAAATGTCAAATATTCTAAAAAATTGAAAATTATGCATTTATCAGTAATTATCGAAAATATTTTTTTTAATTCCACATCTTTTCATTGATTAATTTGTTAATTTTTCAATAAGAACTGTTATATTGTGTTTGAAAGTCAAATATCCTCAGAAATTTTTAATTTTTTTTTTTTGTTTTATCGGTAATTATCGAAACTTATATTTTCAATTTCTGCATCTTTCCATTGTTTAATTAAAAAATTGAATTGTTTAATTTCTATTTTTTCAATATGATTATCATTCATAATGCATTTGAAAGTAAAATGTCCTCAAAATTTTGGAAAAATTTTAAATTTATCGGTAATTATCGACATTTATTTTATTAATTTCTACATCTTTTCATGCTTTTTGGCTTGAGGATTAATTTTAAAATGTTCTAATCCATATATTGGAAAATTAAATCCATAAAAAATGGAAAATTATTATATTTATCGGAATTTATCGAAATCAATTTTAATTACTTTTTATGGGGCATTTTTTGATTTGATTATTTTTGCAATAATAAATTTATCTTATTTAATGTTATTATTTTCAATTTGACTTTCAAATCCGCCATAATATATAAAAAATGAAATTTATCGGAATTTATCGAAATGGATTTCATTGATTATTTTTTATTTTTTTTAATCTAATTACTTTTCTGATAGTAAAATATACAATTTGGCTCTTAAATCCCATCTTATACATAACAAAATAACATTTATCGGAATTTATCAAAATTGATTTTTATTGAATTTTTTTGGGATTATTGAATTCAATCACTTTTGGGACAATAACATTTATTCTGTTTATGGGTAATCTTCTTTTGGGATTCCATATTCTTATAATATATGACAAGATACCATTTATCGGAATTTATCGAAATTAATTTCTTTGATTATTTTCCATTTTTTATTTATTCATTATTGTGGCAATTCAATTAAGTCCATTTTATCAATTATTTTATTTTTTGGCTCCCAAATTCCTCAAAGTTTATAACAAATTAACATTTATCGAAAATTATCGAAATTCATTTCATTGATTATTTTTCAATTTTTTTTATTTATTTACTTTTGTGACACTGTAATTAGTTCCATTTTATCGATTATTTTCATTTTGGCTTCCAAATTCCTCAAAGTTTATAAGAAAATATCATTTATCGAAAATTATCGAAATTAATTTCTTTGATTATTTTCTATTTTTTTTATTTATTAACTTTTGTGACACTTCAAATAATTCCATTTTATCGATTATTTTCATTTTGGCTCCCAAATTCCTCATAATTTCTGACAAAATAACATTTATCGAAAATTATCGAAATTAATTTCATTAATGATTTTCGATTTTTATATTTATTTACTTTTGTGACGGTTCAATGAATACCATTTTATCGTTCTTCTTTAATTTGGCTCCCCCATTCCTCATAATTTCTGACAAAATAACATTTATCGAAAATTATCGAAATTAATTTCTTGGTAATTTTTCAATTTTTTTATCTTCAATATTCAATATTATTTCCTTAAATTATTCTTCTGCTGATTCGAAATGACTATTAGCAACTTATCGATAACTTTGCTTGCCTGCTGTTGTTGCGTAATCAAAGCCTGTTTAAGTTCCTGAATTTCCTGTGTCAAGTATTCAATACGATCGGTGTTGTCATCGATTTTTGTGTTAATATTTGCCAAAACAGTGGCCTCAAAATCCTCCGGGGCATAGGGTGTACTCGGAGTGGTGGGTGTCTGTACCGATTCACTGTTGTATTTGTTTTTATACGACAAGTATGTGGCATCGGAATTCTTGGCCGAAATGGTGTGGCCAAAATGTTTACGCATTTTACCCACCTCATAGGCTTTCATGAGTATATCACGGGGTAGACGTTTTTCACTTGGGTTTAGGGGCTTTACGCACAACACCACACGATACGCCTGGGGCGAAACCAAGGCAGTGTAGTGCAGTAAATTGCGTAGCCAGGTGGGCAGATAACCATTGAATAGGGCCGATTCTATGTAGGAAATCAATTTCGTTTGCCGTACTAGTTTTGAGAGGCCCGCTGTCTTTTTGAGACCCTGAATATCATGGACCGCAATACCCACCAGGAGATTCATGAGAATTATGGTAACAAATAGTAGAAATAATACAAATGTAATTTGAGCACTAACTTCTAATAGGAAGGGAGGATCTTTACCATCCGGATCATTGATCAGCAGCGAGAGATCCTGTTCTCCAATCATCATGACCAGCACGGATATGAAACCCATAAAGGGATTCGCAAAGGAGGAGGAGGAGGGAAATATCACACAAAATGAAATGGTAAAACCAATCAACATACACGAATAGGCCATGAAGAGTTTGGCAAATTCACCCTGGACCCTGGTGTACATGGCCACATAGACATCGAATACCGGCAGCTGGCCAATCATCAACATGAGATTTGTCCAGCCCAGTAGCACCGCAAAGGCCCCAATGTGATTTTGAAACGTGTACGTTTTCTTCGTATACACATAGGAGATGAGAAAGACACTGGTTATGACAAACCATTCCATGATGTTCTCCACCTGGGTGACATAATGGCGAAATGAGGAATAGCCCGTTATGCCATAGAGTTTACGACATATCTCAACTATGGTTATGGCCACCAGGACACCCCATTGCATTTCCATGACAAAGGGATTGCTGCGCAACATATCACCCAGAATCGATTGCGACTGGCACAACTCCTGGGCCTGGATGGTGGAATTGTCATTGTTGCTAACATTGTAGCAATTATGGGCCAGGGCAGTGAGGACATAGATCGTAAGGAAAATCACAAAAATAAAACAAAATATCAAACGTCCGATATAATATTTTCTAATTTTACCCCATTTGATGTAGAGAAACGAAGAGCAGAGCGGATGTTCCAGGATCTCCTTTTGGCCCTCATCCACAAAGGTATTCAAATAACTAATCTCCCGTGGATGACAATGTTGCAGCAGCTGGCGAAAATCCAATTCTAATTCTACTTCACGATTAACCGGATCCTGGGAATGATGTAGGGTAATGGCGGCATCCAATTTCTGCCGTATCATGGCCACCGAGGCAGGGGTCTTGCGTGTTATGACATTCAAGGCACTGGTGCCTTTTTTCGATTTCGTAGTCACATCGGCACCATGATATATCAACATTTCCACACAAGGCGCCAAACCATCCAGGGCGGCCAAATGGAGGGCAGTAAAGCCATAGATATCCTTGTGATTGACATTCGCTCCCCATTGTATGAGCAGCTCCATGATGTCAAAGGCATTTTCCGATTTACCAATTGCCGCATGCAGCGGAGTGCGATGATCAAAATCCTCGGCATTGGGATCAGCATTGCCATTTCTCAGCAGGGATTCCACACACTCCAAGCTGGAGGTGCGAGCAGCCAAATGCAAGGCTGTAAATCCGCGATGATTTTTCAACTTGGCATCGGCTCCCTTGGCCAGCAGCAAATCCACACACTCCACATTACCCTCATCGGCAGCCAAGTGCAAGGCGGTGGATTCCTTCTCACGTATGCAAATCCGCACATTTGGATCAGCCCCGGGAGCTCTTAGCAATATTTCCAAACACTGGGCATTACCCAAATCGGCTGCCAAATGTATGGCATTTGTACCATTCGGTTTTAGGGAATTTACATCAGCTCCCTCATTGATAAACAATTGCAGGCACTCCAGGGCATTTGCCCTCACGGCACAATGCAGCAGACTCTCCTCACAATTCGGTTTGGTGGTATCAATCGAAATCTGGGCACCATTATTTATTAAATATTTCGCTGCCTCCGTACTATTCCCAAAGGCTGCACAATGCAAGGGCGTATAACATTTCGGCTGGAAATTAACATTCATACCCTTCTGGACCAGAAAATTCAACGTCGACAGGCAACCGCTGAATGCCCCCAAATGCATGGCCGATATGCCATTTTGATCACAAAAATTCAACTCAGCTCCAATGTCCAGCAGACTCTGCAACAGATCCCATCTCTTCAAGAATGCCGACCACAGATAACATAAATTCTTTTCGATTTGTGAGGCCGACTCAAAATGGGTCTTCGTATTATCTCCAATCACATTACCCTGTTCAATATCCTCGAAATAGCGTATACGGCCAGCGGCATTTTTCATCTGATCTATGAGGCTAATGCGCAACGTATCATTGCATATCTGTACGCTCAACTCACTGGTGGGTTCTTCGAAACTATCATACATACTGGGTGCACTTTCAGCTGGCGGCGATGGTCCACATTCCATATATTCAAATTCTCCTGGTGTCGGATATTGGGCTTCGATCATAGCATCGGTATTGTTACGCCATCTGACCATCAGATTGGGCGGTATGGATTTTAAGCTGCAATGGGAAGAGGATAATGAAATTAGATTTATATAACTTTTATGTAGAGAGGAAGAGAGGGAGAGAGAGAGAGAGAGAGAGGGAGAGATGCTCTATATGAGGTATAGTAATAGGTTAAGAGGAATCTATTTGAGGTTAGTTCTACATTGATTTGGGAACACAGTAACAAAGAAAACTACATAAAATTAGGTTAAGGTTAAGAAAGCTTTGCAGAATTCTAATCATGAGGTGTATTTAAAACATAAAAATAGGGACTTGAATTTAAAAAAAAAATTAAAATCAACTTTGAGGGTTGTAATTTTTTATACCCTCCATCATAGTATGGAGGTTATATTGAGTTTGTCATTCCGTTTGTAATACCTCGAAATATACATATTATTCTTGATCAGAGTGATTTTCACAGATGGACGGATATTGCTAAATCGACATAGAATTTTATCTATGTCGATTTAGCGATGTCCTTCCGTCTATGGAAAGCACTCTAGCTTCGGAACGAAATGAAGCAGGTTGATAAAATTTTACTCAAATGTATGTTAGGTCTGCAGGACTTTTTATATTGAAAATGGGCCATATAGGTACACGTTTTGGTATAGCCCCCATATAACGGTACCTCCCTATTTTCGGTATTTTGATAATTTTAGCTACATTATTCACCGGAATTGTTTCAAATTTGGTATTTGAAGTTCGTAATATATACTACACTCTAAGACAGAAAATTGGCTATGCATGTCCAGGTCTTCATCTAGCCCCCATATAACGACACCTCCCGAAATTCGGTATTTTGATGATTTTAGCGACATTATTCAATGGAATTGTTTCACATTTGGTATTTGAAGTTCCTAATGGATACTGCAGCCTATGACAAAAAATTGTCCGTGCATGTCCACGCCTTCGTATAGCCCTCATATAACGTCACCTTCCGATATTCGGTATTTTGATGGTTATAGCTACATTATTCACCCGAATTGTTTCAAATTTGGTATTTGAAGTTCGTAATAGAATCTACACCCTAAGACAGAAGATTGTCTATGCATGTCCAGGTCTTCATCTAGCCCCTTTGTACAGATACCTCCCGATATTCGGTATTTTGATGATTTTAGCTACATTATTTACCGGAATTGTTTCAAATGTGGTATTTGAAGTTCGTAATGGATACTACAGCCTATGACAGAAAATTGTCCGAGCAGGTCCACGTCTTCGTATAGCCCCATATAGTTGCATCGTCCTATTTTCGATATTTTGGTGATTTAAGCGATATTATCCACCGGAAATGATCCAAATTTGGCATTTGAAGTTCGAATTGGATATTACAGCCTAAGACAGAAAAGTTTTCAAGTTTCGCCTTTTAATATGGTAATGGCTTATGACAGAAAATTGTCTATGCAGGTCCAGGTCTTCGTATAGACCCGGTATTTTTAAGATTTTAACAGGATTTTTAACGAATTTTATTTTTTTATTTTTTTTTTTTGAAAATTGCCATATCCGTTCCAAATGATGGAGGGTATTCAAAGTTTGGCCCAGCCAAACTTACAATTTTTTTCTTGTTAATCCTAAAAGTATGCTTTAAAAAAATACATTTTTGATCAGCACATAATTCTTTGATATATCCTGTCCGTTGAGATTATGAATGAGGTCACATTATTTAGAGCTTCGGAAATTGGAAAAATAAGTTCGTATCACGTCAAAGACGATATACTCCCCATATTCAGTATTTCAAAGGTTTCAGTCGAAAACGAATTGACAGCAATTTGGCATTTTCAATTCTCAGTAAATGGACAATTTTTCTAAAAAAAATATAATTTTGATATAGACTCTGTTTTTGGAACAATTCACCTGCATCTTAAAGAAAAAATTGAATGCTTTTTGGAATATTGAGTTTTTTTTTTTTTTTTTTTTGGTGTCCACGGAACCCTTAGGTCTCTAATTCAGTTATCAACGGCTTTCACTTTCCCTCATGGCCAAGGTCATAATGACATTTGTGTATTCATTTAAGATCTCCTTCCGAACTGTTTGAACTGGTTTAAGAATATGAATATTTTATCGTCAACCAATCAGCCATCAAATATTATTCTCATCTTATGGTTCGGAATTATTAAAATTTATTTTTATTAATTAATAAATTTTAGTTTTATGCAAAGGGTGCAGTTTAGGACCCACCCTACCCGTGACATAAATTTGGAGAAATATATATTTTAAGAATCCTACATTCTCTCTTAAATTTAGATTTAATACAACAATTTTGGGGAGACAATTATAAAGTGTTTGGAGTATGACAAAATCACGATCATCATTAAGACGTATGGACAAACTTGGAATTCATAAGGATACAACATATATTCTTCCGCATTTCATGTGTTCGATATTAGAATGTAAATTGCCAACATAGAGCCATCAAATTTTAGATTTATTTTTCACATTTTTGGATTGGAAAAGTTAATTTTTTTTGCCACTGGGCCCCCGAAATTTTTTTCCTACATTGACTTTTTACGTTTCATTTTCAATATTTCCACCCCAATAAACCTTAATTTTATTTGCATCAAAATTTCCGATTGCAAAAAAAAAATCAACTGTCTCTCTTCTTTTATCGAACGTGTTGAAATCGCACTTTTGGCCATTGCGCCACTTTGTATATTCATATGCCGACTCGGACATATGAATGACTGCATGTGTGTGGTTGTGTATAAATGTTAATGTATTACATGACCTTGTAATAAATTAAATTCTTAATTTTAATTCAACTTCCCCCCTTTCCCCTCTCCTCCCCTCTGCTGTGATAATCTGTCTTGTAAGGTAATAACAAGAAATTAAATGGCAGCAGGTCTTGAGTTAAAAAAAATATCCAAACAAGAATCCAAGAACAACATTGTAATAAATTATTAATATTTAAGAGGACGGGTCGTTCAGTGAATAAAAAGTAAAATTTCGGAGGAAGAAGTACGAAGTTTTTTAACTCTTTTATCAAAATTAAGTTTCGACAATGTCTTCATATAAAATTATTAGGTTCTTTCTTTCTGAAATACCGAAAGTAAGATTTCGATGTTAACCAACTTAAAAGAGTGTAAATCAAATTAAAATTATGAGCAATTCAACGGTCCTAAAATCTGGTCCTATTTATACCAGTAAGTACGGGTACTGAAACCTCCCATTGTGAAGGCACAGCTCATTCGAATAGGAATTGTGGCTAAATCATTGAAAGTACCGAAAATCCAGAGACATCGACTTATATGGGATTAAACCAACTGAGGCATGATACAAACGTTTCTTGTTCAAGAATTCACAGATTATGTACTAAATGGGGCCTCGGACGAAGCAGAAATTGATTAACTAAATTTGAAGCATAGTGTAAAGAGCTTATGCCAAATCGACATTATTTCCGCCCTATGGCTAACAAGTAATAAAGCAGTAAGTTCGGTCGAGCCGAACTTTGAATACAAATACGAAATATTAAACCTTTCCCGCAAATAATGTCGCTAAAATCATCAAAATACCGAATATAAGGGAGGTACAGATACATGGGGGCTATACGAAGACCTGGACCTGCACAGACAATTTTCTGTTATAGGCTGTAGTATCCATTAGGAACTCCAAATACAAAATATGAAATAATTCCAGTGAATAATGTTCCTAATATCATCAAAATACCGAATATCGGAAGGTACCGTCGTATGGGGGTTATACGATATCGTGGACCTATAAAGACAATTCTCCTCCAAGCGGTAAAGTGCTTAGAAAGAACTTCATGTGAGGTATATGATATCGTGGACCTATATAGATATTTCTCTTCCAGGGGGTAAAGTACTCCGAGGGAACTCCTTCTATGGATTTTCCGACAATTTTATTAAAAAAAAAATGGATAAAATAAAAAATAACGAATATCTGGGATTCCGTTATATGGGTGCTATACGATATAGCCCATCTTCGAACATGACCTGCCTGCAGACAAAAGACTGATCTGTGCAAAATTTTAGCTTCCTATTTTAATTCGTTTTGCCTCTAGCGTGATTGCAACAGACGAGCAGACGGTCGGCCGGACGGACAGGGCTGAATCGTTTTAGAATTTTCAATGACATCCAGTTCTCCATAAATTTGGTTCTTTTAATTACATTCAAGACCTCTCAAATTGTTTTACGAATTTTCCGGAGTCATTCAGTGTCAAAAACCCATAAATTTGAATTTTTCATGAATATTTTCAAGGCCTCTAAATTTGAATTTTTAAAAATATTTCCAGAGGTATCTAGAGCTTCATAAATGTGGATTTTTTAAAATATTTTTAAGCCCCTTCAGAGCTTCTATCCACAGCTCCATAAATATAGATTTTTAAGTTTTTCGCGAATATTTTCAGATCTCTAAAAATGTGGATTTTTGGAGAATACATTCCAGACCTCCTACAGTGAATATTTATGAATTTTTCCATGGACATCTGGAGCTCTAGAAATTTTTTTAACCATATTTTCACGAACCTTCAGTTCAAAGAATATTGTTTTTAATTTTTTCCAAAAATATTCTGAGTCCCTTCTGAACTCAATAAATGTGATTTTTTTAAGAATATTTTCAAGTCTCCCTCAGAGCTCCATAAATGTGGATATTTGGGGATTTTATATTTTCAAGGCCAAAGGGAATTTTTAAGAATATTTCCAAGGACATTCAAGGCCTCTAAACGTGAATTTTAAACAATATTTTCAGGCCCCTCTAGATCTCCAGAAATATGGATTTTTAGAGAATATTTGCTAGTGAATTATTTTTGGACATATTTTTGGTTTTTTCCCTAGAATATTCTGAGCTCATAAACATGGTCTCTGTTGAGAAAGACTTCAAGTACCTCCTGAGCTCCATATATGTGATTTTTTATGAATATTTTCCAGCCTCCCTCAGAGTTTCATAAATAGTGATTTTTTAAGAATATTTCCAAGAGCTCCATAATTGCGGATATTTGAAGATTTTTCAAGAATATTTTGGATTCCTCTTAACGTGAATTTTTAAGAATATTTCCAAGGACA